ACATATGTGTTCGTAATTTATAATTTGGTAATTTGTAGGGTCTTTGTTTTTTACAGCCCTGTAATATGATGATGTATGTATGCCATATGTTCAAGAAACCCAATAATCACATTTGAAAGGTTGAGCATACCAGTGTAATATTCACAGTGCCGTTGAAATATGCCTGTGTAACCTAATAACCAATGACTAACAATGACTAATCGTTCCATGTAGCCCGTGTGGTGCGTTTTAAGAAATTGTTCTCCTGACTTATCTAATAGAGAATGACCTTAGTGTCAGGATTAGTATGTAATAAATAATGTAAGTGATACTTGAATTACTTATATGACCTGTAGGGGTCAGTGTATATAGAAAACCCTTATGCTATTATGTAGAATGACCTGTAGGTGGCAGTGTAGGTTTGGACATCCGAAATTTATTTAGTAACATAATGCAACAAATGTGTGGAAGTGATTTTTGATCAGTGATCAGATCACATGTTGAGGAAACCGTAACGTGGCATAATATCTGGAATATCAATGTAACTTAATTGAGTGGCAAATATGAACATAGTGATGTGGATACATAATTAAAATGAGGATTATTTAATGGGAATTAGATAAAATGGAAATCACGTGACCGGCGTGATTGGAGCTAATCCCCCTTTGAAATGTAGTTGGCGCCCGTAAATGCGCCTGCCGGGGTGCGCTGTAATGAGATGAAAGGGGGATGTGATTGGGCGTCATATGGAGGAATTATGGGGAATGTAGTTTTTGGCGAGGATAATGTTTCAGCCGATAAGATTGTGTGATATAACTTTATCGCAGAGGTATGGGGAATTTAAAATATAAAAGTTATGTGACCCTAAGATATTTATTTGTACTTTAATGAATAGACCGTGCGAAAGTGATAACTGGCTGTACGGGTGTGTGCTAATGCCCGTCGGGCGACATGAGTTATGAATGAACGAGGGTAGCTGTATGTGCCTATCCATGGAACACATAAATTCTGTGTGTACAGTGTTATATCCTAATTACGAGTTGTTTAGCCGGAACGAGTATGCGTACTGTAAGCCCGATACATATTGATAAAGGAAAGCTGGGAAAGTGATTTGACAGTTTAACCGAAATGTGCCCGTAAAGTGTGGACCTAGCCCGTTACCGATGCCGTGGGACTGTTGCCAGGTGGAACGGGTAGGTCAACTTACGGTATGCGAGTGCCTATGATGTAATCTGCGGCGACGAAAGGAAGCTTAGAAGCTGGTCGGACGGAAACCTGCTGCTGGGTTCCTGGACACAGTTTCAGCGTGGAAGACCTCGTGAGAAGACGGAAGTATTCCAAAATGGCGACTGGATGAACCGGAAGTGCATTCAGACGCTGACCTTGATCGGTAAGGAGTCAGGTAAGAGGTGTAGCTTATATAGGGGAGTAAGTTAACTTAAGCCCCACCCACAAATACAGGCCAACCTTACTACATATTAAAATACACGTGATCAAATATTTAATTTATTTGTTTTTCAAATACCAAGAAAATTTTATTTGGTTTGTGATGATTACAGGTACATATACGTTGTGGTAATGATCCTGCCACATCTATTGATTGTTTAATCAATACATCATACATATGATTATTAATTCATTTTCTGATTGTAACATACCCCTACTTCAACCTGTTATAGTTACAACAGATTCTGATATCTATTATTATATATATAAAAATATGGTAAAACCACTTATACAAAGGTAGAGTTAAAATATAAATATCTGAGTGCTTTCTTAACTCACTTTTAAAAAAATAATAAAAAATTCAAATCACCTTAAAGGACCACTCTAGGCACCCAGACCACTTCAGCTTAATGAAGTGGTCTGGGTGCCAGGTCCTTCTAGGGTTAACCCATTTTTTTATAAACATAGCAGTTTCAGTGAAACTGCTATGTTTATTAATGGGTTAAGCCTTCCCCCAAAGCCTCTAGTGGCTGTCTCATTGACAGCCACTAGAGGCGCTTGCGTGCTTCTCACTGTGATTTTCACAGTGAGAGCACGCCAGCGTCCATAGGAAAGCATTATGAATGCTTTCCTATGTGACCGGCTGAATGCGCGCGCAGCTCTTGCAGCGCGTGCGCATTCAGCCAACGGGGCGGAACGGAGGAGGAGAGAAGGAGGAGAGCTCTCCGCCCAGCGCTGGAAAAAGGTAAGTTTTTACCCCTTTCCCCCTTCCAGAGCCGGGCGAGCATGTTTTCCTGGCACTATAGTGGTCCTTTAAGTTCCACCCAACAGCCACTGAAAAACATTCTTAAACAAATAAGATTCACATTGTTAAGCATCCAATCTCATGAACGTGACTTTCCACAATGGCTGTAAAATCTTGGTAAAAATCTTTTTAAGACATTTTTGGGATTTTTTGGTATTTTAAGCCACTAATAACTGTAGTTATTATATTTACTAATTATAACTTAGGGAATATGTTTTCTTCTTCCCAACAGGACAAAGAAAGATGAATAAGTGCCATGTTTCCAATTATTAACTATTTGAAATAGATTGAGAGATTTTGAATAAAAGAACATTTTTAACATTTAAAGAGAATGTATTTTTACATACCATTGTAAACAAAGGCGGTAAATACTTTGCTGCTTCAAATTATCCTTATATATCTAAATCATATACAAGGGTGTTTATCTCTATCACTATTTCAGCTATCATTATTATACAAAGTATAACAAATGTAGAAATTTTTCCACAGATTTTATCTGTTAACATTTTTTAGCACAACAGCACCTGATGTCGTAGATGTAGAAGTGTTACCAAGATTCCAATACAGCAAAAAGAGGCGTTCTTGAGATACCACTTCATGTGCTGTATCAATATAACATGTACTATAATGGAATGCATGTCACTTAAGACAATGTCTTGAAAATGCTATCAATTAATTTATTCCGTAAAAGAATATCAGAGATTATCCCATCTATACACATCATAACTGTGTAAAAATGTTTCATGAAAAAAAACAAAAAAAAATAAACAAGCAAAGACAAAAGACAAAGACAAATACCAACACCATCACCACAGTGATAACAGATAATGCTGATAGAATATCTGCAACAAATTCTAGCCAAATATTTGGATAGCTGGACTCCACAACCAATACTATACAACTAATACCCAGGTATTCTACAAACACAACCTCCAGCAATATCTAAGGAATATAAACTTTTACAGGCCTTTAAAGACTTTGGATTACTAATACAATTACTACTTTGAACTTTGGATTGCAATTCCTATCAGGATCCATCCAAGAATATCTTACTCTGGAACCTGATGTTCTTTTTAATTCTTTCCCAGACAAAAGTTTTGCTCATTTTAATCAACCACCTTTACATGCCAAGATCACACTACAGATGTTTTACCGTTACAACAATGATCAAAGACGCTGGGAGCATAAAAACCTAAAGACTGTTGGGGAACTTTGGTTTACAAATTTAAGGAAGAAATGCTCTACAATGCCCACAATTTAATAGAGAAGGTGTTATGGGCAAATGCAAATATTGTATTTCTCAAACTGCGTACTTTGTCTTTAACCCCTTAAGGACACATGACATGTGTGACATGTCATGATTCCCTTTTATTCCAGAAGCTTGGTCCTTAAGGGGTTAAGAGATATTGCAAACTGACAAGGTGTTAGAAATGGAACATATTGTTTTTCATACATGTTTCTTTAAGCAATAACCTTTTACCTACTTTCAGTGCAATATGTTTATGCCATTATATCCCAGATGAAATACAATGACAATAATGCATAAACCAGCTTCACGGCTATGCTATGACTCTTTCAGTACATAGTATACTGCAGTAACCCTAAATAGATTAAGATGTGCAGACTTTAAGATGCCGTCTTGTCCTAAGTCAAGGAATTTCCCATGATGTGTGCATCCTTATGTTTTAGTTATGACCTTGTATTTTTGCCAAGACAGAGAGGCTGACATGATGACATGTTCAGGAGGGTTTGTTCTTCTATTAATGATATTGCAAGCATATAGTTTAATCTTATAAACTCTGCTATAAATTATTGTAATGGATTTTATATGTCTATATTTATATTTTTATTTATTAAAATATCTAAAAGACAAAACTTTATTGCTTCCAAGACAATCCTTATTTTATATTGTATTCTTAATTATTTATATAATTTCAATAGAGGATCTCTTGCTAACCATATGATATTATGGCTAATGATATCAGTATGGTTCTATGCTTTAAGATGTTATAGTGGTAAATAAGGGAACCTGCTGCAGTTACACTGCTATTTTATTTCACATAAAGCACTTTTTTAAAGCATACACCTCCCTCTTCAATAAGAGGGTATTCCTTTTGTTTTTTGTTTACTCATGGACAGACACATACAAATTCACTGACAGGCACACACATACGCACACATTCACTGACAGACAGAAACACATTCACTAACAAGCATACACACACACATTCACTGACAGAATCACACACACATTCTTTCACACATACTCACAAATTACTAATATTATAATTTGTCCACCCAGCCTCCCTACCTTTGGGAGAGCTGGAGTGGAACTGTCCCTGGGGTCCAGTGGGGCTGCTGTGAGGTGGCAACTGTGAGCACATCAGTACTGGGCATCAAGGAGCGGTAATCCTCCTGCTCTGCTCACTCTTGAGCCATCTACTGATGCAGGGAGACGGAATATGATGTCATATTCTGGCTCCCGGTATCAGTAGATGGCGGACAAGGGAGCAGAACGGGAGGATTACAGCTCCCTTGCCGCCTTTGATGTTCTCACAGCTGCTCGCCTTGGGGGTCCATAAAGTGCTTCCTCCATGACAGTAGGAAGCACCGAGGATGTCCATGCATTTTGGGCTAGTTTTGGGCTACAGTGCCTGCATATATGGGTCACCTGAGACCATCGGCAGCGTGCTTCATTTTCAAGTGGGGGTCACAAGGGGGGGCATGGCATGTTGTAGGGGAGTACATGGCCCCATCCTGGCCCCCCTAGTGATGTAGAATTATTAAAATCTTTATTAGAACCTGTATTGAATTATTGTACTAACTCCATTTTGTTCACCTTACATGACAGAATTTCCTGACAGTATTCAGTATAATGAATAAGAGATTGTATTCTCTCTCTAAGGACATAACTAGCCCCGGAGTTAGCGGATCTCCGTTGACTTGCAACATAGTATAATCCAAGGCCAGGAGAACAGTGACAAAATGAAATGTTCTATTCATAAAAGAACCTTGGAACAGACCACGAGACTGACATCACTAACTACGTAAAATGACGCCCAAGCCCCCCTTTCCACCGAGTAAGCCTCGTGCTAAAGAGCAATGGCGACGACATCCCATGATGGGAGGGTGCCTCACTAGTCACTCAAATCTCTGAGCCAATTAATAATATTAATGGGTGGACACTGACATAGCCACTTAACATTTAACCCAATTAATGATGTTTATTTGTTATTATCTGATATTCAATGATGATGTCATTTTGCATATAAAAAGGCCTGCGTGCCCACTTTTTAACTAGATGCTAATAAATTTCCTGAAGTGTTTTTAACCTGAACTGCATGTGTCAGTGTGAACTTACTTCTGCGTATACGCAATTTATTCATCTCAGATTTGGACAGGAACAGATAGACTTTTAAACATTTTTGTTTATTTCTAAATTAATCTACATCATCTGGCGTCCATCCAACGTGGGGCATCGGGCTATGGCCTCCGCCGGTAAGCCGTCCTAAGGAAGACGCTGTTGGACGGAGGAATCAGGGGGGAAGGAAGAGAGACTGATCACCTCTGAGTACACGGTAGAGACTTCTGCAGGAGCCACCGGTATGTTCCAGCCCCTTTGATTGACCCGTCCACGTGTCTGTGACTGCTTCCCGGGAGGGCATCAAAGACAGGTAATATCTTGCCCGGTGTCTTGTTACCCATTTGTTTACCTGCATTTAGTCTATCTGTTGCCTGGGTGTGCTAGTGGTATATGTTTTGTGTCTTTCCCTCTTTAGAGATAAAGGGGGGTGGACCCGTGGGTGGTTGCCTGGGGGTCTTCTGTTGCCTGTTTTTACCCCTTTTTAGGAGTCACTTGGCCCAGACTGCAGAGGTTAAAAAAGGGGGGGTGGACCTGTGGGGATTTTCCAAAGGGGTCCTGTTTTCCTGTTTACTTCTTTTAGGTACTGTCTAGCTAACAGTAGTATGGAAAAAGAAGGGTTGGGGGATTCTGTGGAGGGGACTTGCCTCCTGGGGTTTCCCGGTTACGTCACTTTGATATTCTAGCTAGCCTCATTGTGTACGTTGCTCTGCTTGCAGAGGTTATGGTACCCTCCAGCTTCGAGCGCTGAGGCTGGTGGCATTCCAATTTATTTGTGGTGTGTGGATTCGGGCAGGCATTGTTGTCTCCATCACCACGGGGTAGTGTGACTTGTGGGTGGGTCCATAGGGAGCACTACGGGAGTGAGGATAGAGGTGGCCACACTTAGTGGACTGCTGTAACGAGGGAGGCATATGGATTTCGGGCCGGTGTTAGTCGTTATCCTTGGCCGCTGGTAGTGAAACTTACGAAAGTTGTTCTCCGAGCGGGGACACTACGAGATTGAGGGAGGTGGTCTTGGTGGCCACAAGAGTAAAGGAAAGGGATTACTGTTGATGCATGCACTGTATTTCAATTGAAATGTTGTATTAAATGTTGTCTTAAGTGTGGAGTCATTCAAACTCCTGGGTCTGTCTCTACTTTCACTGTTTACTTTTCCTCTACTTCCTGTACTATTTACACTATCCACTCCTATTTCTCTTGAAAGAGAAGTGATTGGTCACACACTTCTCACCCCGCTCCAATCCGTGGTTACCATCGAGGGTACACGGATTCAGTGACTGGTCTACGTTTTGGGAAGACGCACTGGGAGGGACCCACCCTTCCTAGTGGCAGTCGAGCATTGTAGACGTTCTGTTTCATTTTCCTTTACCTATACTTGGGACGCTTTGTATATGGGACAGGAAACGAGTAAGCCCGCTAGGGGCTGGCTCGCGTGTGATTTAGTTGAAGATAGAGAAGGTGAAGAACTGGTTAAAAATGTTGCAAAGATTGCTAAAGTGTGTAAAATTGCTGTGCCTTCATGTGGTAGATTATAGCCAGAAAGCTGGCGTAGATTACTGACAGAGAAGAAAGGCAAGCTTTCAGATAATGATTTATTGCGTACTGCTGAAGCATGGTACAGAGTAGAAAGGCTATCCAGCAGGAGGGTTGGGTAGAGGAAGAGATAAATCATAAAGGGTTAAGAACTGTATGTATATCATAATAATTGTGTTACTGGGAAGTTATCCCAGCCAGTGCCCTGTCGGGGGTTCCAGGAGGTGACCACTTCCATCATCCTGTCAGTAATGACCGAAATGTAGCTGACCATGGTCACCATCCCACCCCAATCTTAAAACGCTGTGGGGTTTTTGTATTTTGTGTTAGCCATTACCCTGGTAGAGGGTGGGGGTTTAAATGAAATGTTGTGTTTTTGCTTTGTAATGTAATTGTCCTTCTGTCTTGTTACTGTACAGCGTTGACATGGTTAAATTCGTGCTGGCAGGCAGTCTCTCTCTTGTTCCACTCAAATCCCCCTCTGCTAAAACACCCCCCCCTCCCCTCGCTTCTGTGAGACGCGGGGGGGAGGGGGCGGAGGGGGGTGGTGACATGCTTGCGATTTAGGTCTGTCTCTTCGGTGTTCTGTAGAGTTATTCAGAAGCTACTGATAAGATTTTAGCAATGGAATTTTTGCTAGAAAATATTCTAATTGTGTATTTTGTTATCTCAATAGAAATTGATAGGATGGTTAGGGAGTGAATCTGATGCAGGAATAGAAGTTATTAAGTTAGTATATGTTTCTAGAGACAGCTTTGTGGGCTGTTAGATGTATAATATTCACAACTGTCTTATTTAATCCGTCAAGTCTGTCCACAGTTCAGATTTTCATTTTGCCGAACAGAATGTTACTTCCCATGAAACCCACGCCTCCAGAGAGACTTAGTATGCCCTAAAGGAAAATGGCCCCTAGAACAAAAGAAGGCTGTCCTTAAGTGCCTTCACTCTGCCCTTAGTGAGGTCATATCTGCCCATATATCGTGTCAGTTCTGGCCATCCATGGCTGACGAGATCTACTCCTATCATGCTCATCCTATCCCACATATTATGAACAAGAAAGTTACAATTACTAAAATAATCCTGCTAATGTTTCCCTATATCAGAAAAGTGTCTGTGACAAGTGATGGTTAATATGTAGAAAGGATATATATATACCGATTCACGTGTTAAGTAACAATATGTATTAACTTTGTGTACAAAAAATTGATAACATGCTAAAGAAATTTCTAATAAACAAAGATTTCTTGAACAAATGGTAATACAATTAAAGATTGGTCTCAAGATGTTTTGATCTAATTGAAAAGAACCAGAAAACATTATGAGCCTAACTACTAACAAATGGATAAGGGGGGAGGGTGTTCCAATCTGTCTTTATTGGATAATGTTAACCACCAAGATTAAAGACTGACTAACATTTTTTTAATGTAAGCCCAGATATTTTATTATTATATATGCATAGAAGTCGAGACTTTGGGCATTATAGTGTATTGATTCTAGATCTGTTACTAGCAGCAAGTGCTTAGCCTTATGCCTATCCCACGCATGCTTAAACACTCCTTTACTGTGTTAACTTCTATCACTTCAGCTGGAAGGCTATTCCATGCATCCACTACCCTCTCAGTAATGTAATACTTCCTGATAGTATTTTTATTTAAACCCTTGTCCCTCTATTTTTGAGACTATGTCCTCTTGTTATGGTAGTTTTCCTTCTTTTAAATATAGACTCCACTTTAACTGTGTTGATTCCCTTTGTGTATTTAAATGCTTTTATCATATTTCCCCTGTCTCGTCTTTCCACTAGGCTATACATGATAAGATCCTTTAACCTTTCCTGGTAAGTTTTATCCTACAATCCATGAACCAGTTTAGCAGCCCTTCTTTGAACTTTCTCTAAGGTATCCATGTCCTTCTAAGGATATGGTCTCCAGTACTGTATACAGTACTCCAAGTGAGGTCTCACCAGTGTTCTGTACAATGGCATGAGCACTTCCCTCTTCCTACTGCTAATACCTCTCCCTATACAACCAAGCATTCTGCTAGCTTTTCCTGCTGCTCTATTACATTGTACATTGTCATTAACAGCCAGAAACTGGAAACCAGAAAGGATAAATTAATGTATAGCTAAATGTAAAGCTTAACAAAACCTCCATTATCTTTTTCATTTATCTCGCAGAAAAACAATGTTATTTGTCTATTTTGTAAGTTTTAATACATTATCAGTGAAGAGTAAAATAAGTTTTATCCCTTTTGCGAGACATAAAATTGCGATAATGTATATTTGTGATGTAAGTAAGAGTTATATTTTATAATAGGTTGAAAAAGAAAAAAAAAAAAAGAGAGAGTCAGGGATAGCGTCTGTCTCTACGAGCAAAAGTCTGGTGTGGGAGATGTAGTGGACTAGCCACTGCGGGATACCCACGGAGTGAAGCGTTCGAGGCCTGTACAGACAGATGTGCTTGTTAGCCTTTTATTATTTTTCTCTAGGGAAAGCATAGGGCCAGTTAACAGTTGTTGTACATGTGCTATTTGCAGCCTCCATTGCATTTCTACTTAATTCTGATTTCTGATGTATCCTCCACTGCTACATACCCACGCCTCCATATGGAGACCTGTCTGCTCCCTTACCTGCCCACCCCTGCCTACTCCTACTCCTACTCCTCCTCCTACTCCACCTTCTCCTCCTTCTACTTCTCTCTCCTCCTCCTTCTCCTCCTCTTTCTCCTCTCCTCTACTCCACCTTCTCCTCCTCCTACTCCTCCCTCTACTTCACCTTCCACTCCTCCTATTCCTCCCTCCCACTCCACCTTCCCCTCCTCCTACTCCACCTTCTCCTCCTCCTACTCCTCCCTCCTCCTCTTATTCAATCCTACTCCTCCTATTCCTCCTTCTACTCCACCTTCTCCTCCCTCTACTCCACCTTCTCCTCCTCCTACTCCTCCCTCTACTTCACCTTCTACTCCACCTTCTCCTCCCTCTACTCCACCTTCTCCTCCTCCTACTCCTCCTCCTACTCCACCTTCTCCTCCTTCTGCTTCTCTCTCCTCCTCCTTCTCCTCCTCTTTCTCCTCTCCTCTACTCCACCTTCTCCTCCTCCTACTCCTCCCTCTACTTCACCTTCCACTCCTCCTATTCCTCCCTCCCACTCCACCTTCCCCTCCTCCTACTCCACCTTCTCCTCCTCCTACTCCTCCCTCCTCCTCTTATTCAATCCTACTCCTCCTATTCCTCCTTCTACTCCACCTTCTCCTCCCTCTACTCCACTTTCTCCTCCTCCTACTCCTCCCTCTACTTCACCTTCTACTCCACCTTCTCCTCCCTCTACTCCACCTTCTCCTCCTCCTACTCCTCCCTCTACTTCACCTTCTACTCCTCCTACTCCTCCCTCCTACTCCACCTTCTCCTCCTCCTACTCCTCTCTCTACTCCACCTTGTCCCCTACCTGACAACATTATATTTTGAAAAAAATAAATAAATAAATAAATAAATAAAAAAGTTGCTCTGGCCCCTCTTCCGCCACTTCCCAGGGGGGAATACCACACTAAAAAAAAAAAAAATTATTATTCATACTGTTTTGGGCACTCTCAAGGAAATAGTGCGGTCCTGACCCAGATTCCCATGGAAGTAAGACACCTGTATCATCACTGGGAGGTGGCTGCCCCTCATGTTTTCTTCACTAAGTCCCCAGAAATCTCATAAAAGGAACCTGACTCAATAAAACATGAAACACTAAAAAATCGATATCAGCTCTCTACAGAGGGGGGGGGCAGCAAGACAACTGTAAATGGAAAGACAAATACCCTCAATCTCACACAGAAATAGGTGAGGATATCTCTTCTACTACTCCTCATGGTTGCTTTGAACAGATGAAAGAAGAAATAAGACACCTCTCAACAAGGCATGCAGTAGCTTTGCCAGATCCTGACTCCACTCTGTTTGCGGATGAAGAGGAAAGGTACCATACTGGATTTGCTGTTGCTACAGAAGATCAGGTACATCAAGCATCTTTACTTTCCTCACCCACATCTGCTCAAGACACCAAATTGACAGCCTTCTCAGTGGCATGCAAATTGTTTGTTTCTGAAAGACAAGGCCATGCAACAGGAGTGCTCACTCAGGCCCATGGTCCTGGAGGCCGCCAAGGGCCTATTGGATTTTTCTCCTGCCAACTGGATATTGTGGCCAGAGGACGTCCCTCTTGCCTTCGGGCCGTCTTTGCTGCCAGAGAGCTCATTGAAAGAACTGGAGATCTTGTCCTTGGCCACCCCCTGGTTGTCTTGGCCCCCATGACATTTCTGCCATAGTCAACCAGGTCCAACTTAAGCATGTTACTCCTGCTAGGCATCTTCGCCTTCAATGTCATCTTTTGTTGCCTGACAACATTACCCTTCAAAGATGTCAAGTTCTCAATCCGTCCACTCTTCTGCCACTCCCTGAGGGGGGTGTATACTACGGATTCATCCTACGGATTCATCATGGACGAAACTTATGTTTTTCTTCTCACTGGCACCATCAAGAAGGAAATGCATCCCAACCTATCCTTTCATGATGGACAAGCACTCCTTCATGACGGAGCAGGATATGCCTTCTGTACCATGTGGTACAAATCAAACATCACTCCTGAATCCTGCTATGAAGATGAACTCTATCATCTGGTCGAAGTAAAACTCACTGCACAAGACTTCTACTGTGATTCTGAAGGCAACAGTATGGTCTTGATTCATCTACCTCCGGAACTCAAGCATTTGTACCGTCATTGGGACACTGCCATTCCACATGTCCCTGTGACCAAGTTGAAAACAATATCATGGAATGATCTTGGGCCTATGGCAAAAGCATGGGCCACTATGGACGAATCACAGCTACAGGAAAATGGTGTTGTCAAATATCCAACAACTGACCACCTAAAAGCATGGCCGCGTCATTTCCTGGAGAATGAGTTCCAAGATTTAACCATAGTGAATGACTACGACCCAGATACACCTCATGACTGTTTTGAACAGATGAAAATGGAAACAACACATCTACCAACTGTGCATGAAGACCCATTGGTAGATCCCGATCTCACCCTGTTTGTGGACGGCTCAAGATATGCTGATGAAGAAGGAAGATACCATACAGGATATGCCGTAACCACAACAGATGAAATTGTCAAATCATCATCTTTACCATCAACTATGTCTGCACAAGAAGCTGAATTGCAAGCCCTGACTTCAGCATGCAAGATCTCTGAAGGAAAGCGCGCCAATATCTACACGGATTCAAGATATGCACTGGGCGTGGCTCACGACTTCGGATTAATTTGGAAAACAAGAGGATTTCTTACCACCGCCGGTACACCAATCAAGCACGGTTCCGCAATCAAGGAGCTGATGGACGCCCTCCTACTCCCAGAAGAAGTGGCTATTTTGAAGATAAAAGCACATGGGAAGTTGGACTCAGATGAAGCAAGGGGCAACCATCTAGCTGATCAGGCTGCAAAACAAGCTGCAAAAGAACCACAGGAAGTGGAAAGAAGAGTGTCCGGAAATGAAGAAACTCCCATATTTACTCTGCAGACTCTTCCAACTGACCTAAAAATCCTGCGGGAACAACAGGCTACAGTTGCCCCTGAAGAAATACAGAAGTGGAAACAGAAAGGGGCAGTTCTGAAGGATGGAGTGTACTCCAACAACCTCAAGTTCTGCCTCCCTAAGAATTTGTACCCAGCAGTCGTACAATGGGCACACGGACCTGCACATTTATCAAAGGATCTAATGAATGCTCTTGTACAAAAATACTACCTCATTGTCCCTATATGAGATTCTATTTGGGACTGCACCTAGGCTAGGTTGCTATTTTCCCCAACAACTACAACTTCAAACTGATGTCTTAGTAGATTATGTAACTGAACTCGCAAACGCCTTAAACAAAATCCATGCCCAAGTTTTCTCTTCAATTCCAGATCCTGATTCTGACACAGGCAACCACAGTCTGCTCCCCGATGATTGGGTTCTGGTCAAGAAGTTTGTGCGAAAACATACCTTGGAACCAAGATTTGACGGGCCATTCCAAGTTCTCCTAATCACCGCAACCTCCGTCAAATTGGCCGGCCGGCCACATTGGATCCACGCTTCCCATTGTAAGAAAGTACTTGCCCCAGAGGAAGCTAGTACCGCACCACCATGGACCTCTGGTACAGTATCTTCTTAATCAGCTTAATTAAAGCTCAACAAGTAGCCATCACTAAAGATGCTAGTGGGTACACCTTCTGGTATAATTCATCATGTACCCGTGTGGCTACTTATACTTTTGACTACTGTGACATCGTAGAATGCCCATTCCCCACGTCACAGATTCAGAATATCTATAGAGATATCCCTCATTCAAAAGACCCCTATGTTTGTGTAGTTGACAAACAATGGGGGCACAACTGTAACCATTGGGGGGCGGCGGGATGGAATGCCGGGCCTGCCTGGGGTTACAAACCAAAAAGTGCCTTATCTAAAATTGATGATCACGGTAGGTCCCTCCTCCAGAGAATGACTCTAAGAAAGCCCGGAGGAGGCATACCTATGAAATTAATCTTAAACATTGAGCATCCCAGCCCAACGGATGCAGACCAGTATGTAATGGGAATGTACTGGAAGAAGGGTTCCTATAATAAATTAGGACATTTCCACCTTAAAGATATGTGCCACTCTCCTGAGTGGAAAGGGACCACCCACATGGTCTCAAATCCGTTGAAACCACACATCCAATCTTTTAAAGACATGATGGCCATTGCAAATCCAACATTTGAAGATACCATGGCCGCTGAAACAGGTTTCAATGATGTTAATCTATGGTTAGAATGGATGAAATATAATGCCAACAAACATAACAGAACCGCATGCTATGTGTGTGGTGGTGCCCGGCCGCACCTGGGCACTGTGCCTTCAACTTTGCCAGTAGATATAGAAGAATGTGTTCTGAGTCTTTTTGCCTATCACTACAATTTCAATAGGTCCATATGTAAAGCATGGACAGTAGAGTATCCTCTTCTAGTCAAAGATTGCAAACCCCCAGATGGTGTTACCGTCTATAAAGGTAATTATACCTGTTATGCTAATTATGATGGAATTGGTAAATTTGTGGGTAACTTCTCTAAAGGTTATTGTGCCACCTACAGAACTGTCTCTATGAACCTCCTACAATTCCACACTAGATCATTGGGGGATATTTACTGGTTGTGTGGGGATCTACAGCTGAGATCAAGAATGGATAAAGAATGGTGGGGGGAGTGTACTCTGGCTAAAGCAATCATGCCCATACATATTATCTCTGACACACACCCCGATACTCATGAGTCCAAACACTCACCAACCAAGGTAAAGCGTGAAGCCCCAGTAAAAGGCAGTTTTGACCCTCATATTTACATTGATGCCATTGGGGTACCTAGGGGGGTGCCCAATGAGTTTAAAGCCAGGGATGAAGTTGCTGCAGGATTTGAATCACTTTTTACCATAGTCACTGCAAACAAGAATTTAAATTGGATAAATTACATCTACTACAACCAACAACGGTTTGTTAATTACACCAGGGATGCCCTTCAGGGTTTGGCCGAACAGTTGCAGGCTACGTCCCAAATGTCATTCCAAAATAGAATGGCTTTAGATATGATTCTAGCAGAAAAAGGAGGGGTATGTAAAATTCTGCCTGACACCATGACATGTTGTACTTACATCCCAGAAAACACAGGCCCCAATGGTAAAGTAACCTTAGCTATAGGAAAATTGAAAGAGCTCTCTGAGGAGCTAAAGAGGAACTCTGGGATAAAAGATCCCTGGGAGAGATGGTTTGGTTGGATGACAGGATGGCAAAAAGCTTTGATGCATATTGGTATAGCAATACTAATTTTCCTTTTTATCTTTGCTCTTCTCATTTGTTGTGTCCTCCCTTGTCTGAGAAAGCTCCTCTTGAAGACTGTAGACCAAGCGGCACCCACTTACGCACACCTCACAGTTGATGACCAAGATTTCCAAAAAGTCAACTCGCCCTGTATACCGCTACAATCTATCCCGTTTATTGATAGAGTGCAAGAGTTCTAGGAAGGGACCAGCTTAGGGACAGCATCTGTCTGTCTGGGAAGTCTACCGTGCGGAGATGTGGTGGGTTAGCCACCTCGGGATACCCATGGAGTGAAGTGTTCGAGTGCCCAGCGGACAGATGAGTTAGCCAATTAGGGACAGACGAAGGGACAGCTTTGCACTTTGCAATAACACCTAGCTAGCGGGTCACGGGGTTTCTGTGCCTTTGGGCTAACACGTCTTCTGATACTAACAAATAAAGATTATCTTTTAGAATCTAACATTTCATAGGGGGGACTGATGTAGAATTATTAAAATCTTTATTAGAACCTGTATTGAATTATTGTACTAACTCCATTTTGTTCACCTTACATGACAGAATTTCCTGACAGTATTCAGTATAATGAATAAGAGATTGTATTCTCTCTCTAAGGACATAACTAGCCCCGGAGTTAGCGGATCTCCGTTGACTTGCAACATAGTATAATCCAAGGCCAGGAGAACAGTGACAAAATGAAATGTTCTATTCATAAAAGAACCTTGGAACAGACCACGAGACTGACATCACTAACTACGTAAAATGACGCCCAAGCCCCCCTTTCCACCGAGTAAGCCTCGTGCTAAAGAGCAATGGCGACGACATCCCATGATGGGAGGGTGCCTCACTAGTCACTCAAATCTCTGAGCCAATTAATAATATTAATGGGTGGACACTGACATAGCCACTTAACATTTAACCCAATTAATGATGTTTATTTGTTATTATCTGATATTCAATGATGATGTCATTTTGCATATAAAAAGGCCTGCGTGCCCACTTTTTAACTAGATGCTAATAAATTTCCTGAAGTGTTTTTAACCTGAACTGCATGTGTCAGTGTGAACTTACTTCTGCGTATACGCAATTTATTCATCTCAGATTTGGACAGGAACAGATAGACTTTTAAACATTTTTGTTTATTTCTAAATTAATCTACATCACTAGCAATGCCCCTGCTATCCAAAGGATAAGGGAGCACTTTCCTGCCCCAGACAGAATCTACATGGGATGTCATCCTTCATCCACTAATCAATTCTGGCCACCTCTACTTGTTAATCAGTCATGTTACTTGGCAGCTATTTTGAAATTGTCACAAATGTGTAAATACATTATTAAAAAAAACACAAAAATCAAAACAGCTTGATAGAAGGTCTTGAAATGTTTTACAATGATAAATATAAACAGTCATGTCTGGTGGCCATATTGGATTATATGACCAATTTTCTCTACATGCAATATCTGTTCATGTGCTTTACACAAGCTTTTTCATGGCCACCTCAATTGCAACTTGAATTGCAATTCGTTTGTAACTGAATGCACACATTTATTAGAAACGAGTGAAACACATGATAGGACAACATATTGTGCTGCATTGGGATAGTGTTCTTGAGAAATCGTGAAGGCAAGATTAGAAATCCTAATTCTAACAGAGGAAACTGGTAGTATTTGTGAATTAGTGAAGAAAAGTGTAGTATTTTTGAATTAGTAATGTAAATAATTCAATTAGACATAGAGTTGTTGAGAGATATTTGTACTTTTACTGTTAGAATTTTCAATTGAATACTGAAGAGAATGAGAAGCCAATGTAAGGGTTGTGAGGAGCAGTGAGTAAGGGAAAGATATCATTGTAATGATACAATATTAGCTTTGAGAGACCAAATGGGAGAGAGTGAGTTAGATGCAGTAGATGACAAAGAAAATAAATGCGTGACCAAGTTCATTACATGCATCTTGCATTATAAAAAAGTAACAATCAATAATTTTAGCGGACAATTACACAATTTGGTGACAGACAGAACAACTGGTGTAAAAGTGATGAGAGAGCAAAATAATTAAAAAATAACATAAAAACCACATAAGGAGCTATCTAGCAGGGTTTGACTAATATGAGTTCCATTGTCCCAGAAGAACAAAAAGGTTAGTTTTCAAAGATAGAATGATGAAAAGTTCAGTTTTAAATAGGAAGACCTCCAATAAGAGAAAGAAAGAAGTGATGCAACTGACACTTTGAGGAATGCACAAGGGATATCAGAGAATGATGGATGCATTTGTCAGTAGCTTGTAGGGATGGCAGTGAAATTCTAAGGAACTAATAAAGTTACCAAGGCAGAATAACCAGAAAACAAAACTATGTATATAACTGAACCCTGAGGAATGTATACTCAATCATGTAGTAAGGAGAGATATGGAAAGGGTGTTGGGATAAGTAGGCAAGAAAAGGAAAGGACAGTGTTGCAAAAACCAAAGTTGTAAATAGTTTCAAGGAGTCTGAAGTTAAGAGTATCACAATCAGCAGGAATGATGAGAGGACTCAAACAGGTTTAAATAGCACATTGATACAGGTGGCAAATTGCAAAATCAATTTTATTTAGCATGCATACATGTATAGTGTTGAAAAATATGTTTAAACAAATCAAATAGAAAGATTACGATTAATTATTTTGGTATCTTAATGTGCCTTTATATCCAAAAACATCATATGCAAATGTACAATAATAGCATCAATAGAAAGTATTAGAAAGCTCAGCAGTTGCATTCTGCATTTAGGAAACTACTTACTAATAAACTCATAAGTGTCTACAATTACTGCTTCTGTTGCTGATTGATTTCTTATTCCTAACATATTAGGAGTTTTGTATCCATTTCGCATAAATTATTAACATATGGTAACTACAGAAAGCTTGTTACGCACAGTTTACTACTCTCAGTAAAGTAAAGTGGTTATCAATATTTAGTAGAGGCATGTTTTAGAACTAGAGAACATGTTGTAGAATGAAAACGTTTTACTATTGTAATGTACATATACTATTGTATAGTAGGATAAACATTCTTGCCAATCAAATGTCCTTTGTTGTTTAGATCTGGCCTGATTATGATAACGTAGCATTTCGGCATAAACATGTAAAGCAATGCAGCACTTGAAGCTAGTATAGTAAATATTTCAACCGCAACAATATTTTTTCCCTTAGTACTCAAATATGCTGGAATGAAGGATAGCCAAACACTGCAGAAAATTAACATACTGAACGTTATATGCGTTGCTTCATTAAAACTATTTGGTAAATTGCGTGCTAGAAATGCAACAATAAAGCTTAGAAATGCCAGCATTCCCATGTATCCAACAACAAAATAAAATGCCATTCCTTCATTGCACTGCAATACCATTTTAGGAGAATTTTCATTGGTTTCAGTTTCAGGAAACGGTGGAGAGTGAATAAAACATGCAAAACATATAATAGCTTCACCCAGTGTACAGACGCATACTATGTAGTTATGAATGTTTGATCCAACCCATTTTCGTGCTTTACTGCCAGGTTTTGTAGCACTGAATGCAATAACAACAATTATAGTTTTAGCTAAAACTGCAGATATTGCAGTTGTAAAAGTTATTCCAAAGGAGGCTTGCCGCATCAAGCATGTTATGGCCAGTGGGCGCCCAATGAATAGTAAAGAAGAAAGAAAGGACACTGTGAGGGAAAAAAGGATTATATAACTCATGGTCCTGTTATTTGCTTTCACAATAGCTGTCTCCCTATGGGCGATAAAAATGATTAGCACTCCCACAGTGGCAAATGATAAAAGGATGGCTATACATGACAAAGTAATACCCAACGCATCACCATATGAAAGAAAATCTATGGATTTGAAAATGCATTTTGTTCTTTCTTGGTTGGACCACTGGTCAACAGCACACTTCATACAGTTTTCCATATCTAAAAAAAACAAACAAAAAAAACATCATCAGTATTGCTGTATAATATTAACCTTTAAGGGCCGATGTTCTATTGAGATGTGATACATTTGTGACCAAGGCTTTTTTGTCACTTTTACCATGTGTTCATTCTAACGTCTTTATGTCTTCCACCAAGCTTCTGGAATAAAAGGGAATCATGACATGTCACACATGTCGTGTCCTTAAGGGGTTAAGTACACCCATACATATTATATACTGTATTTTCTGGCGTATAAGATTACTTTTTAACCCTGGAAAATCTTCTCCAAAGTCGGGGGTCATCTTATACGCCAAGTATAGGGTCTATATGGCTGCCGGGGGCGCCCTGCACCCCCGGCAGCCGGCCCTTCTAATGCTGCAGCCGCCTGAGCGCTCCAGAGAGAGCGCTCAGATGGCTGCCGCACTGCCTCTCTTCTCACCTTCTCACCTTCTCACCTCCCCTTCCCTGTGCAGAGTGGGTGGCCGAGCTCCACTTCGTCCTGTCAGTCCACACTGAGTGCTCACTTCCTTTCAGTCCGGCCGGGAACAGGTAACTGAATCTCCTGTAATGCGCGGTACCCGGCCGGACTGACAGGACGAAGAGGAGCTCGGCCACCCACTCTGCACAGGGAAGGGGAGGTGAGAAGAATGTAGGGAGGATTGGGGGTGGAGGGAGTAAAAAGAATGGAGGGGGAGTAAAAAAAATGGAGTGGGGGATTAAAAAGAATGGAGGGGGGGAGTAAAAAGAATGGAGGGCGGGGGGAGTAAAAATAATATATCGCAATTAGCCTCCTGTGTGCTAGACCAGCAGGCATGGATTATATGCCCAAACAGCCTGGCACATACCTGGGCTTTAAATGCTATTTCAGATTATCATTATTTTATGTCTTGCTGTGTAGCTCTGTCTGCTCACTGTACATCATGGCTAATTTTTATTTGGTGTGCATTGGAAGAGGGGTAGTCTTATATGGCGAGTATATCCCAAACTTTATATTTTAACTGGAAAAGTTGGAGGTCGTCTTATACGCCCAGTCGTCTTATACGCCGGAAAATACGGTATCCTTTTTTAAAAGTAGAAATAAAGCTTTCTTTTGATACTCTGTCTGTATACATATCACTATATTAAATATAGGTAAAATATAAAGAAATTAAAAAGAAAAAATGAAAAAATACATTTTTTCCTCAGTTTTATGTTTAAAAGAGCATTATAGAATTAAGAAATATATATTTTTGCTTGCTGAAATATATTATACTGCAAAATGTACCTGAATCCCAGCAGACATGCAGGCTTTGCAACTGCAAAGAGACACTGAATTTAAAGGATCACTATAGTGTCAGGAAAACGAAGCACCATTTACCTTAATCCACTTACCTCCTCCCCGTCCAACGTCAGCTTCCCCGTCCGACGTCACTGGAGCCGAATGCGCATGTGCGGCAAGTGCCGCGCAAGCATTCAAAGTGTCCATAGGAAAGCATTTCTCAATGCTTTCCTATGGACGCTCTGCACGATGGAGGCGATATTCCAGCGTCGCAGATGCGCCACTAGTGGCTGTCCAGAAGACAGCCACTAGAGGCTGGATTAACCCCAAATGTAAACATAGCAGTTTCTCTGAAACTGCTATATTTACATGTGAAGTGTTAAAACCTGAGGCACCTTGCACCCAGACCACTTCATTGAGCTGAAGTGGTCTGGGTGACTATAGTGTCCCTTTAAATGGATTGCCAGATCTCCTCCATCATGAAGAAAGAACGCATTGATACCTAGGTATGGATAAATAACCATTATCTTTCATAGCCTCACCGGCACTTCAGAGATTTTTGAAAAACCCACCACATATTTCTATTCTTCTGTTCTCAAGTGCATTGATACCCCACATGTATACCTTTTACCCTAATCCTACACTTAATCCAACAATTACAAATCCTACCCAAAATCCAACTCCTAATCCAGCCCATAATTCAATCTCAGAGAAAACAGCAA